AAGACAGCATCACTTCTTGGCAAAATCTGGCCAGAACTAAACTCTCCAAACCCTTCTACCAACTAGGCAAGTGATTCTCTATACTATAGAGAACCTATCTCTCCATACACTCTCTTGATTTTAGAGTGTACAGGAACAAAAGAAAAAAATAAGAAAGAGGAACTGAACCCACTCTAATACCAAGATGTGAATCAGTTCTCTAATATCAGGTTTAAAATCAGTGATTAGCAGTACAAATCAGATCTGAATGATAGTGCAAGAACTGTGTATGTCGAAGAGAAGAGGTAAGAGAAGAAGTTGAATCAGTCTTCCTTCTCCTCTAACCCTATTTTATTAATCTCTAAAAACAAATTGATGATGACAAGTATACCCTTAAGTGGGTGGCCAGCTTGGCAGTTACATAAAGGAAATAAAATAAGAACAAATAACAGGCCCATCAACATAAAATAAAAGATAAAATAAATGATATCACATAAGAGGCTGTTAGGGCCCATTTGGCCCAGTCTCTTTACAAATGTGTACAATATAAATATGTTATTTATATAAAGTATATGACTATATCAGTTCGGGTATTTGTTCAATCAAATCAGGTCATATCCAAATTCGGTTCAATTATGTCAAATCTTGAATCCGAACTCAGATTTTCAGATACCAGTGATACCCCTACATGGAAAAAACAACTTAAAGAAAAAAAAAAAAAAAAAGTGTCAACAAAGCAATTAGTGCATAGCTGTCATGAATGTTTTCAAATATAAAATAAAACAATAAGGCAATGACACAAGAATGTTATGAAACAGGGAACATGAGATTTTTCTCTTTTATTATTGCTAAGTTAATAATAAAAGAGAACAGAACAGTATCAGCTAAAGAAAACAGAACAGTATCAGCATGTAGAATTTTTCTCTTTTATTATTGCTATTTTTTACTTTTGCTCATTTAATGATTAAAATGAAATAAAAAAACTTCCCAAGAAATAAAAATTTAGAAGATTAAGGTACCTTTGACTCCATCTTTTCCTCTTTGGGATATAGACATTGAGATCTTCCCTGAAGCAAGTTGTGCACTTCATGGTATTGCTTTGAGATACTAAGGACATCATAAGAAACAGACATGAAGTATTCTATTATACAACTCCATCTGCTTGCTATACACCCCAATAAGGAGAGCTCCTGTTAAAAAATAAAAAATAAACGTCAACAACCTTCCAAACTCCAAATAGAAAGCAAAGCTACAGTCAACATCAATTCTAAAATTAGAACTGCACCAAATTGGATTTTCATGATGTTGAAATGGATGAGTTAGTCAAATGGTGCTTTAGTCATTGCAGGGTTCAAAATATTGCAACTTATCAGTGCATATCAACTGATCCATATCAGATTTCAGGGCCACTGACACTCTAAAAACTGAGTTATATGATTTCAGTTTTTTTAAACATTAATATATGATGTGACATATCTACAGTTGAATTATCAAACCAAACAAAATTAAAAAAATGAGTTTTGATTGATACAAACTCTTGATACACAAAATTTAAACCTAGGATGGAGTTTTCAGCATGCTGACTTACTAAGAATTGGTGTTTAGCCATCCAAAGAAAGGACCAAATACTTTATGTGGGGGTGGGGGAGAATTTATACAAGGTATTTCTTTCTCAATTTAAACTTGCATCTAATTTTACCAAGAATTCGGGGAAATTGCTAGTCTCAATGGTCAGACAAGATTCATATGGCTCCGAAATAGTTAGATAGTTGAGAATTATAAGGGTTGAATTTTTTTTCCATTTTTCCTTTTGTTACTCTTATTTGTCTTAAGCTTAGAATGTCTATTAACTATAGTTACATAAGCAAACAAAGATAAACTGCAGTAGCTATCACCTTGACATTGAGGTATCAGCCATCATCATTCAGAAGCCCAAATGACTCTGCCCTATAGCTCATTAATCTTTTCCCACACAATCTTATTAGCCTAGGAAAATTTCTTCTGAAATGTGTTTCCCAGAAAATTTGACAACAATTCAGCATGCCTCTGTATCATTAGTGGTACTTCATCTTCTATAAATTCAGTTCCAAAATAACAATGTATCTACATGTTTGAAAATGTTGACTGCATATTCCAACTGTAATAGCATAAATTGTAGTTTAATCAACATATGTGCTTAGTTACATAGTGGAATTTAAAGTCTAAATAGCCAAAAGAACTCAATTATCAAGAAGATAGCATAAATGCATATAATGCTCAAATCGTCTCAGTAGTTAAACTTACAATTACTTCAAGTAGATCATCGCCAAACTTTCCAATTGAAATTTTCAGTTGATCAAACACTTGAAGCCATTGAACCTTAGGGGCAGAAAATATCAAGTTAGCACCTGAGACCAGTCTAATAGTTCTTTTGTCAAGCATATATGAGAGATTCCCTGATCTCCACCTGTTCAATACTGCAAATTCCACAAATTGATCTTTTCTCCTGATTTGCAAGACAAACATATACTTTGTTCATTCCAAACCAGCAAGGCAATGCTAGAATTTTCTGAGGAAAGACCTACACATTAGAGACCCATCACCATGTTTAATTCTTTTTATTATTTTCCTTTTTCCTTCCTTTTTTTAGTTTCCCTTTGTGTACTGGAGCTTGGGTGTAGGAAATTTGGGGAAAGCTTGGGGTTTGGCAGAATCCCACTAGACTCTCTACAAGAATAATATCAAATGCAACAATAAGTATCTATAGGTTACAACCACCAGTGCAAAAAACATACTAGGTGACTACATAATAAGGTGAAAATTTGATTAATAGTTGAAAACCCCACTTTAAACTTCATCAACAAAATTTGCCTCCAAGATTTCAGTAATAAGCAAGGTTCAAAATATTGATACAGTTTGATACGCCAGTAGGGGCATATTGGACTGTATCAAGGCTCACATCCCCTTTTTTTTAGTTTTTTTTTCCAACCTGGTTCAGAGGGGTCGGTTTAAGGTCCGTCTACCCCCTGAACCGGGTTAGACCCTGAAACACCCCCTGTAGGGGCGTATCGGGAAGCCCACGATACGATATGGCCCAATACGTATCAAAATTTTGAAACTTGGTAATAAGAAATATATTTTTTAACGGCCTCTGTTGCTAAAATGGCCATCACCCAGTGCTGGTGTCAGCCATCTGAGCCCCAAGCTCTTGGGAGGTGTGGAAAGTGGACCGGATACAAACCTAACCTCCAAAAAAAACTTTTTTGCACAATGTGGCCACTCTCGGATTTGAATCCCCATTTTATTGCTATGAGACAAAATACACGTTTTGTGGCAGCTTTTTAATGCAATCAGCAGAAACCAAAGTATCAGTAATCACCTTGAGGCAAAAATGTTATTACCAGATGCCAATGGCCAGCACCTATGTTTAGTGCATATGGACAAAAATGTTGCATTCCAATACAGGCATGGAGTGCCAAACATGATTGATCTTGGTTGTAAAGTGCTTGATGGAGAGTTCAGCATCAAGGATGGGTTGGTACCATTGGGAGAAGCTTATATTATGATGCAAAGTTGCAGCATCTGGGCTAGACACCTCATTTTCTTGCACTGCAATTTTTTATTTTATTTTATTTTTTGATAAGTAAATAGTACAATTTTTTATTGCTACCTTTTTTTTGTTGCAAATTATTATCCATTCTCAACATCTCAATGGCTATACCTGTGTTTGATGGATGTTATTACTTTAATTCCTCTTTCATTTCCTTTAACAAATGTTTCCTGTTAATTGTAAAAGAAGGGAAAACATAAATCCTCACAGCAGAAAAACATCACAATCTTGGATTCCTATATGGAGTTTCCAGGTAAACAGATAAGGACTTATGATGCTACAATGCTACATAAATGATTTACAGAAAAAGAGGAAGGATATCCTGCTTACAGTGGAGAATTACTATAGTATAATTGCCCTTCCAAAAGGTGACTACCAGCGTCAACACATTTGCTACCATTGGTCGCCCTGGAGAGAATGTCCAAGCCAATTTCAACTGATGATATGCATGATACTGCAATTTGCCTCTTTGAAAGTTCTTGAATGACAAGCTCTGAGTGGTTACCACTACAGGGTTTCTTGGAATTCAGGTTTGAAAGATTGAAAAGAGGCTCATGATCCGTTCCATTTTCTGTGCCACAAAGATTGTGCATTGAACCGTGTACAGTTTGGTCATGAGATGATGAAACAATATCTGGATATGAAGTCATTGAATTAGGTAGGCTTTTTTCAGAAACCAGATTTAACGATGTGGTCTGCAGCAACAATTTGTCAAGATACACATTAAGGCAATCATACTCTCCTCCTCTAAGGTCATCCAGATCCATTTCAACAGCTGCCCTTAGCACAGCACTTAGATGTGCATCACTCAAAGGTAAGGTATTAAGTAGATGATGGAAAACAAAATATCTAGCTCTGCTAAGAGTTGCAGATGACAGACGTTTGAGACCCTGTAATTTCGTAGTAGTAGTAGTAGTCAGTGATAGCAAAACAATCAGATTGTCAGTGAATGAACTGAAAACAAGCAACCCTATGTGTATATTTTCCTTTTAAGTAACTGCTTAAGAATGTATTTTAATGCTTGACAAAAAGGAAAAAAACGAAAAGAAAAGGGCAGCTCATGACCTGAGGGAAATAAGGATTGGATGTCATTTCAAGTAAAGCTGCATCAACTTCCTTCACTGAGTCTTCATAACCATCTAAGCCTCTTAAGCGTCTGAATACCTACACAAAGTTAACAACCAGAATAATCATCGTCCAAATAGCTTAAAATTATATTATAAATTAACCAAGGGGACATCACAAGTTTAGTAATGTGGCATAAAGAGATAAAATGTGTACTAAAGGCCATATTTAAGGAAAAGAATATGCAATTCTTAGTCTTCAAAGCACACAACAATAAAAGTAAAATCCACCAACAGTTCACTTGCAGCTCCAACAGGCACTAGGCCAAGTGATGTTTTCTCAAACTTTTCTCTCGTGGACAAAGTACCAAGACTTCTTCAGTATTTATGACCAGAAATCATATAGTGGTTTGTTTTATGTTTTTGCTCGTACAAATTTGAAATTCTAAAGAAATAATAGGAAAAATGTTTCATAACACTTCTACAATGGCATCTGTAAAATAACGCACACAAAGAAAAATAAAGGATGCACTCACATTTTCGAAGAAAATGCCCCAACTCACGACTTTTTTGACATTTTGAGCATCCCAAATAGCAGGAAGACCTGATGATTGATACCCAGATGCCAGAATTAAGATATCTACAAACCCTTTGATCAACCTTAGCAGATCTTCCAGAGAAATGTCTGGATGAGACCATCCCATCTTTTTTATTTCCCTCTGAATGAGAAGTTCAGGCGAAATTTTGGACTAATGGGTTGAACAGCAGTAGAAGGAAAATCGAGCTTGGTCTATATTTATGGAATGGCTTGAGTACGAATGCGAACCAAGGGAGTAGGAGTGGAAGAAGCCAGAAGGAACTGGTCTCTGTAGTCTGTAATAGGCTTTTCTTTTTTCCCGCCATTAACAGCAATACTAAAAGCCTGGGAAATAAGCACAAACGATGCAGTGCATATGGGGGTATGGAAGTAATATACATCATCCTCAACTGACCTTCAGCAAGTGTACCCTATAAAAGTATATATGGTAAAAGTGGCCCACGTATGAGGGCGTACTTAAACTGTTAAGCTAAGCATATTAAGAATCCCACGTATGAGGGCGTACTTAAACTGTTAAGCTAAGCATATTAAGAATCCCAAATGCCAATGGCTAGAAGCAAAGAAAACACGTTTAAAGTAGTTAATTTGATCTCTGTAAACCCGTTGTCAGTCACCAGTTTTGTACTTTTCCTTCGAGACAGACATTATAATGTTTGAATTGGATTCGATATCCAATGCAATGTTTAAAGTATTGGAAGTGCAAATGTATAAGAGATATGTCAAGTTACTCTTTTGGATATATGGATAGATATGGATGAAAAATCAAGATATGCATAAATATATTAAAATTTTTAAATAAATTATAAAAATATATTAATAACAATAAATATAAATTTTATATAAGTATAACAAAATTATTTAAATATTAAAAAATATATTTTTATTTGAAATATTTAATTTTTTTAAGTTTTATTATTTAAAAGAAAATTAAATATTTTTTATTGGAATTTTAAAATATTATTTATTTCTTACATAATATTAAATATTTTGTTATGTAATTATTTAGCTATTTTTGATATATTTATTCAAAATATTTTGTTGTTGAAATATTTAAATAATATCTTAATTTTTTTAACTTTTATTATTTAAATAAAATTTAAATAGTTTTGTTACTAACATTTTTAATCCATAAAATTATAATGTATGTTGTTACTACACAACTTTACTATGAATTTCATAAAAATATAAAATCATTAAGAATCTGAACATTATTAAATCTATTATAATTATTTTTTTGTTTTTGATAAATATTTTAAAGTTATTACATAATTTTGTTATTACATATAGATGATTATTAAAATTTTTAATTCAAAACTTCTTTAGATAGATATAGATAAAAAGTGGGGGAGGGGATAAATAGGAATTATATTAAAGATAATTTAGGAGAGAAAGTCTTTCATAAATTAGAGATAACTAAGTATATGTTTGGCATCGATGTTGCAGTTGCAGCACCATTTTCAGAAAAACGGTGCCTTTATTTTTGTCTATAACCGTTGTTGCCAGGTAGGACATTTCCTGGAGCAACAGCAACTTTTTCTTTTTGGTACTATTGCTCCAGGAAACGTTTTCAGCACTGGTACCCATTATCCAATGCCACATCACTGCCCTGTTGGCAACAACGAGTTGTAGCTCCAAGAAACGCCAAATTTGGCGTTGCTCCAAGCCATGGCTTCCCGATTTTCGAGGCATGACTTGGAGCATCGCTTTTTATGAAAAAACAAACAAATGCCAGTTTTCTAGAGAACTATTTTTTCCGATGTGGCGCTGATGTGGCGTCGTTGCTCCAATAAACGACAATGATGCCAAACATCCCCTAAGGATATAAGTAGGATTTAGAGATAATAAGAGATAATTTAGGAGAAAATAGGGGTTAGTGGTGTCACATGGCTAGATTGGGCATGTAAGATAGATTAAATGGTGTTTTAGGAGGAATTTTAGGTGGGAGAGATAGTCTATTAGAAATTTTATGAGGGGGGTTGGCTAAGTGATCAGGGACATGAGAGAGAAGGAGTTGAAGTGAAACTCTAGTGAGGAGGAAAGGGCTGCCATGTGGCTACATGGAAGGGTTAGGAAGTGGTAAGGGAAGAAGGAGAGAGAGAGAGAGAGTTAAGGAGAAGCCAAGGTTAGGGTAGTGGAGCAAGGAGAGGATTGCTAATGTGGCCTATATGCTATACTAGTTGGAACCCGTGCGATGCACGAAAAAATCTGGAATATTTAATAATTTTAGTTACTATTAATTAATTGATAAACTAATTATCAAAATTTGCTATTAATTAACTAAAAGTATTCAAAGCTATTGTTAATATTTAAAATTTTAATAATTGTATTTTCCATTTAATGTTGATTTACATAAAATAAGTATTGTTAATTTAATATGAACAAATATTTTTAATAAAATTAATTTTATTAATCATTTATAGTAATTTTAATAATTGATATTATTTTTATTGTTTTCAAATGAAATTTGGATTGATTTTAAATAAATAAAAATAATTATAAAAGTTAACATTTTTATTAACTTCACTAATAATTAACAATTATATAGGAATGGCAACGGGGTGGGGCACCCCATCCCTCTCCTTGCACCATAGTCAAGACACTCTACCCCATCCCCGCCCCGTCCCTAGTGTCAAGTGGGTTCAGGGCAAGGCAACCACTCCTCAATGTCAGAAGAGTTCATGGGGGCAAGGCACCCACTCCTCGTCAAAGATGAGGAACCCTCGAATTTCTCCCGCCTTATCCTCAATGTTGGGCGGGTTTAAGACAAGACACCCACTCCCCGTCAACCCAATATTCAAATTGATGACAAAAATGATCAAAATGATATACTGAGTATTAGCCACATGGTAAATTTCTAAAAGTACACTAATTTGTCTTTAATTTTAAAAAATGTATTTTTATGAAAATTTTGCAATATTTATTACATTTGTGTAATTTTGAAAATTTATTCAAATTTATTTTTAAATTGTTATTAAATATTTTATTTTCTTTTTAAATGGTTGCTCACAGAATTACACTAATTTATCGTATATTTTCTAATACAAACTAATCAATAATTTTCTTTTCCAATTTTATACTAATTTATCTTAATAAGTTGCATAATTATTGTTTCAAATTATGTTTTTTCTCTTTCCCATGTCATTTATCTTTAATAATTTACAATAAAATTACATAATTTTCCAATAGTTTTCCAAAATCTATCAAATGTAATATATTTTCCAAAATATTATAACAATTTTTAATAACTATTTAATACATTTTAAATAAACTTTTAAAAAGTTTATATCTTTTAATTTCCAAAATGTTATTTTATGAAAATGAAGTTTAATGAAAAATGTTGAAAATTTTATTACATCTGTATAATTATTCCCCTATCTACATTCGATTATTAACTATAATAATAGCAATAACTTAAATTTTATACTTTTGGTAATTGTTAAATATAATTCTCAGTTTTATAGAAATTAGTTTAAAGAGTTTTCAGTATCTATAAAATGTTGTTAATTTACATGAATATAACTGTATTTACCAAAAATACTTTAAAAAGTCCTGATGAGTTAATTAATAATACTATTTATTATTTTTTTGTAATTTATTAATTGTACTAATAAGAATATTTAATTTTGGTAATTTATTAATTGTTGGTAATAACACTATTTAATACTCATTGAATATGTGTTAGATTAATTATTAACCATATTTAACTTTTTATTAATTTATATGAATTTTTAAATGAGAAACAGTGGATATAGATTAGGGGGAGAGATTTTATGAATTGATTGGGGAGTGGGATAACATAATAAATTCCTAATAGCTTAGAGGAGATACCCTAGGAGAGAGATTCTATGAATATTTTTAGGTAATTGGGTTGAGAATGGTGACATGGCTTAATGGTAGTGGTGGAAAAGGGAAAGGAGAGAGAGTTAAAGAGAATGTAGGTAAACTTGTTCATGGGCCAGGATCGGGCTTGGCCTTTGTCAAAATTCTAATGGGCCCAGTCTGAAGCCCAAGCCCGAGACAGGGTAAAGTTGGGCCCAAAGCACGGCCCATGAATAAGTCTAAATGCAAGGTGGGGGTAATGGAGCAAGGAGGGGCATGCTGATGTGGACCATCTTGCTATATGTAATAAAACATAGTATAGATTCGAATTTGAATTTGAACATTAAATAAAGGAGTTAATTTAAGACATATTTAGTATAGCATTAAATAAATGAGTTATTAGAAAGAGGGGGGGGGGGAGATACGGAATGTATTGGCTTGTTCGATACATATCCAAAATGGCCCTATATGGACATGTATTGAACTGATATAGACGAAAAGAAATGAAACCATTGATTTCGTTGTGTTCCAGACTCCTACAAAAACGAAATGTATTGGCATAAGGACCAATACATTACAAAATTTTAAACCTTGGTCCAATGAAGTCCTGCATGAAAAAAGTTTGGCCTAAATCGTACCAGGTTAGGTGAATCCGTTTAACAAGTCCAGTTAAGGAATGCAAAGAAATCAGATCTTAACCAAATGCTTATACAGACATGGTTTTCAAAACCGGACAGGACCGGACGGTCGGATCAAAAAAATTGGGAATCGGTCTGTTTTCCCCAAAASCAGATTTTTGCAAAAAATCATTGATTTGGTCAGCAAATCGCTGACCCGGGCGGTTGAACCGTTCGAATCGTTCAATGGTTTTGAATTTTTTGAATTCTTTTTTTTTTTTGTCAGAATGGGCCGACTATTCGGTTTGATTGGTCAGACCGTTTGACCCGGAAATCAAACCTCTGACCGGTTCAGTCTCCGAGTCGGTTTTAAAAACCATGTATGCAGAGCCCATATCTTAATCACCCGTATATATAGTATCTATATTATATATACAAAGCGCTTTAGTCCACATGGCAATCTTTCTCCTCTCTAAAACTTGCTCTAAAATCCCCTTTCCTAATTTTATAAATTTTTTATTTTTCCTCACCCCAACAACCTTAAATTCATGATAAGTGAGGAAGTTCTTAATTGATAAAACATTTAGAACTTCAAACTTCTTGGATTCTTTTCCTTTTAAAGGGATCTAACATCTGACATCTCTTTCCCGTTTCTCGTTTCACCTCATACATCTCTTTCTCCTTCAAACTTCTCTCTAATTTCCTAACCAAGTTAAAATGAAAATTTTCTTCTTCCCCTACCAAACAAATCAAGTTTCCAAGTAAAACACTTGGTGAGTCACAACAGGTTGTGGAGATTCAAAGACCCATAGAAGACTGGCTGGACATTCACAGAACAAGGGCTGAGCACTCAATCAGAACAGTAGCA